TTTGCCCATTCATCTACTCATTTCTACCTAAAAATCTCTGTAATAATTAAAACACAACCAAACAAGTTTATTCTACCAAAATAATAAATTTTTACAACTGTTGCCACTCATAAAAAACTAAAGGAGAATAATATTATACTGTTGAATGTATATGAACAATGCTATACTTTACAATTACTGTTAAATGTAGACTAGAGAGGGGTACACTTATTACCATATACGTACATGCTTAAGACAGCATTCTCATATGTGCAAATATGAGGCAGCATTGCAACAATATTTGCATAACACTGCCTATCCGTAACTTAATGGCATTTCGGTACATACTTATGCTTGAAGAACGGTTTTTCATTCCATTAGACAATCAGAGAGTATTATTTTTAATTATTTAAGAAACTGTGTACTTATTTCAAATAATAGTTTGAAGGGAAACGTTTTATTGATGAATATGCAAATAAAAACAAAACATGAATTATTCTAAACAAAACTTGGAGTAATTAATATTTATTTATTCTTTTCATAGTTCAGACAAGAGTTAAACCTAGATGAAAATAAATGAATGCGATGATAACATTGGCGAAGCTAAGTGAAGTTAAACAAAGTCATAGAAATAGAAGACAGTAATGTCATAGAAAACTAGAATTTTGAAACATTAACTAAATGGTTTCAACCATTACGTAACATATCGCCAAATCGTGGCATAAATTGGAGAAAACCCTATCACCATATCTTGATTCTTACGAAAGGATGACACAATGCATCAAACGTACTGACCTTGTAATGTTTATCTTAAGATAATCCCCGTTAATTGAAGACATACTTTTCTAGTTTATAGGTTACACGCTCATTTGTCAGTTTAAACGGCTGCTAGTAGCCTTAAACCTCATTCTGTCATCGATTAAGTCAGTCCTCTACCAGAGTTTCCAGAAATACTGTAAATGACAGTTTAAAAGATGACCACGGATTGTTACATTTTAACGATTTCCTAATTGCATTTCATTAATTATTGCTGCAATGAAAGCTTGGGATACCTTTGTGACTCTTTGTGTTTTGTGTGCTGTTAATATTGGAAATGCTAAAAGGTAAGCTATAATCTCATGACATAACATTATTTCATAAAGGTGAAAAACAAATTTCGTTTTCAAACTTCTAACAGCTTGGATCAGTAGTAACTGACAACACGAAGCATAAAGAACTGCAAAGCTCGGAAAAATTACATTTTATTGACTAACTTCAATCCCCAAGAAATATAGTAGACGAAAATAAACTTATGAGGATTAACAGAGATAAAATTTAAAAAAATTAAAGATAGACATTAAAACTGATTATTGAGACTAAACAGTTTATATTAAGATTGTTTATATAACTGATTTATTTATTTAACTGAATATTAAGGTAGTTTTAGGACCTGAGTTTTGGAACTGTTTCCGTTTCGACTGTTTTATAATTCATTTGTATTAGATACTTACATACCTGTGCATAAATTATAGTTCTTTCACAGAACTAGCGACATAATGCGAAAAGAACGATGAAAAATATGATAGCAAATTCAGAGTGCTGGGCATTTACGAAGACTAAAACTGTAAAAACGGAACTGTAACTCATTATATAAACAAGTAAAACTCATTTTCTGAAATGAAGACAAGTTATAACATAGTTCGATAACATCCACTCATATAATGCTGAATTTTCTACTTTTAGGACATTTTTACATTAGAATTACAGAGGTACTTCTTCCACCAAACGCATTAGAACACCAACACTATACGACATTTATTACAGTATATAAATTAAATAGTCGCAAATTATGATAATGATACAACTAATAGAATACTTAATACGTATGACGGTGATTTAGTTGTGATTTACAACAGTATTTATAAGTATTTATGCAATACAGTTATTTATTTCATTGTAATCTATAAACATCAATATCAATCCATTTTACATGGTTTTGATTAACACTGCTCAAATGGACCTTTTTAAAAATCTCCTTTCAATCTCGTTCCAAGAATATATTCAAATCAGGTAAAAATTCTTAAAATTTATAACGTACCATCACATTTGGTCTAAAGTTTCGAATAAGTACTGACGTTATATTATACGTATATATATATATATATATATATTTATATATATCATAAAAGAAAGGAGAACAAAGTAAAAAGGACCTTTGCGGTCAAGAATGTTGCGCATTGAGCTGCAAAAATTAGAAAACAAGGTAAAAAGAATATTCTTACTGCTGCCGCTAAAAAGTGGCTTTGATACTGTGGTTCCGGTGAAAAAAAATTTTTTAACATAAGTAAAATAAAGTGCTAATGAAAAGTGTAATTACAAAATAAACGAAATTATCAATAGAATATTTACTAATAAAAAGCGTATTAAAAACTCAAATCTAATTGGAAGTAACATGTTGATTAAAATAAGCCAAGCTTTAACAATTGAATAAAAATACAATTGTGATATAAAACTTAAACAAAATAAAAAAAAAAAAAAAAAAAAAAAAAAAAACTAAAAAGGTAAATGGTAAATTAGCCCAATTCGAATCTCATTATTGACTCTTCAGGGGAAATACATAAAGATTTTCAAATCCAGCTAATTCCATATCGCGTTTCGTCAAAACAGACAACTGAAACTGTACACGAAACTTTTTGAATGTTAACTGAAAAACACTTAGACGAAAACTTTAGTCTCAATTCTCTGTTTCATTTCCCGACGCGCCCGCTTGAAAATGCAAATGAAAAAAAAAAAAAAAAAAAAACATTAATGGTGTAAGAAAAAACTATGCAGATTGGCCTGGTTAGGCAAATGTACAAAATAAAATAAATAGCGATTTGCTATTAGTCAAAAGTTCAAGATTTTTTTCACCAGAACCACAGTATCAAAGCCACTATTTAGCGGAAGCATTAAGAATATGCTTTTTACCTTATATATATATAGCAACTGCGCAAGTAGTAGTAACTTGTTTTCGCACTAAATTAATTTAAGATCATACAACATTATATATATATATATATATATATATATATATATATATTATATATTTATATTAACATTTTCAAACAATAATTGTAAAGAACATTTAAATTTTAGTTCGAATTTAGCTTTTAAGAACTCGCAGCAACAACAACAACTTGCATTTTTTCTTTTCAATTATGAAGTTGTAATAATTATGTTCTTTGCATTCAGATATGTTTTGCCATTTTAATCGCCTATTTTCGTATTCATTGATTACAAATAAATTTTTAAACTTTATGTTTTTTAACATTTTTTTTTTTTTTTTTTTGAATTGTGACAAAATGATTTAAGTGCTTAGTTGATTACGGAAAAACGTATTGTCAACGGTTGCTTACAAGATATTCGAACCAAAAATAAACATGACAGTAAACTAAAGAAACATAAATAGTGGACTTTGATGCTGAAGTATAAATATTAAATTCATAGAAGCTTAAAGGTAAACAAATTATTCTTTAAGCTTTATTATGAATAGTGTTATTCAAGTAACACTATTGATTTAAAACTGCTAAAGATTTAGATAAATTGGAATAAAACTGCTCTGAAATACTTTCAATGATTTAATAATTTTTAAGCAAATTAGAAACTGGTGTAAATGCATCAAACACCTGATATATCAGGAGATGAAAAAGTGAACAAGAACTTTGCAGCAGTTAAAGGTCAAATCTGAAGAATTTCAAATTCAAAAGTATTCTTAACGCCGAATGTGAAGTCGTTTTAGAATCCTCGGAAGATTGCAGTGAAAAGATTATTAAATGGGAAGAAACAGTAGTAGATTTTTAAAGGATCCGTGTGATTCTACTAAAACTATTAATGCTAAGTTTTCCTTCAGCTAAATATCAAATCAGAAGTAATTTTCAGTTCAAAATTTCGAATAATGTTAAAACACCTAACAAATTTTACGACCCCTTTTTCATGATTAGAGTTTTTGTATTAGACTGTAAAAAAATTCACAGAAATCAAAGCTTACGTAATATCGTGAATTTTAAGGCAAGAAAACTCTTTCAGGCAGCATTGTATAACGTGCTGCTGGATTTATGCAAACAGCAAGAATAGAAGCATGCTTTGAGTTAGAAAGTTTTGGCAAAAAAGGTATTAGCTCAAGAGATCACAGAAAAAATATTGTACTACTAATTCTAATGTAAAATTTTGCATTACTATTTTTTTAACTTAAAATTCTAGAAAAATATCAAAGTACTAAATGACTGTATTACGACTAGAACAATATAGATGGATGTTTGCAGTTCTCCGCTGTGGCAAATTTCATCATAACTTTTAGATTCTACTCTGGATATGCAGGATATCATATACAAAAATTTCAGTTAGATAGTGATCATCTGACCAATTACATTGTTTAAAATTATTTATGATATTCATTATATAAATAATATTTTGGAAAAGATGTAATGACTTTTAAAATGATTAACTTTCTGTGCAATGAACAACGGACTTTTTTAATACTAAACATGAACGAAAACTCTTATTTGCCGTGGTTTATCAACAACAGTGACACGGTCTCAGTTTAATTAGAAAGTGAAAATTTTGATCAAATTTAAACGTTATACTATTAATGATTTTCAGGATTATTTCTCAGGTTATATCTCTTATTTAATGGCAATCTGGAAAATGAAATAAACGTGCTAATGTAGTAAAAAATAAAGTGATTTAATTGAACTCAAAAACTCAGTAATATAATATTTATATTGACATTTTGCATGATGATTATTCCAATAAGTGAACCCTAGGGAGATTTCTGCCCTGAGCATCTGTAGCAGTAGGTGTGCCATTCTTGATTTCATTATTCATGAAACAGTGATTCAAAGATTTGATTTATATGAATAATGTTGCAACGTGTTATGATACCTTTCCATTTTTAATGCTGTCCTGTTATTTTAGGAAATAATAAAATGTTTTAACGCTTATGAAAAGTTGTAATGCTAATTATTAGCATTATGTTGATATCTTATTGACATTCATTCTAACAGGGGTTTCATTTTGACGTCACCGAAGATTCTTGAAGCTGGTAAAACGGTATACTTCACTCTCTCAGTATTCGATGGACCGCCTGGTGCAGAAGTCACAATCGGTTTGCTGCGAAATGCTACGAATATCTTGGCAGAAAGCAAGGTGAAAGTCCTATCAAGTAAGTAAAAGTAAAGTTATCAAGGCAGTAGTTTTTGAATATGTTTTGTTACGTCTTTATACCTTTAAGATTAATTATTTATGATTATAATTTTAAAAAATATCGACTAGACAGAAGACTTCAATACGAATTTGAATGCATACTGATAAAAATATATAAAAATCATAGATGATATACAACAAATATCTTTACGTGCACAAAATATTATTATTCCAGAAAAAGTTTGATTGAACGAATTGATTAAGCTAAGCAAAAAACTTATTATATAACCAATATTTATGTAAATGAAAAATATATTTTATAGTATTTTCATATTCTACAAGTAAATCTTAAACACTTATTTCCTCGAATAAATTCCAGAATGGATTAAGCATGATTTAATTCGCAATAATAAAAGAAGGCGTTACCTTTGTTATTGCGGAGCTTGCTTTCTCTAGATTGGCAACATATCTACTATTTTACTTTTTCAAATGTAAACAAGCAATGGTCGCCATGGCAAAAAGCACTTAGAGGCACATAAACAACTTTTAAATTTTTTATAATTCTAAAAATATTGCTTGAGATTTACTAAAGGCGTAAAAACCTTCCACCATGTTAGGACCATGTTTGCAAGTCTTTTTAGGTAGACCATGTTTGCAGACTTCTCCCAGCACTTCTTGCTTATATTTACAGAAGCAAAAATTCTTACAAAATAAATTCTTCCTTTAAAATTTATATAGAATATTTATATATAGAATAATTTAAGAATTTATAATAAGAATTTATAGAATGTGAGATAAGTATTTAAAAGCCATCTGCTAAATTCAGCAAATAACACCAAATAATATTCTTTACTTCATTCAGTTTTATTTGCCTATCGTTTTTTATTCATCAGTTAGCAATTTAAGTACATGCAATATTGTTTAATTAAGTTGTAAAATTTCGTTATTTTGTCTTTTTTTCAATTATATTTTTAAGTTATTAAATGTGAGTAAAATGTAAAAGATAACTGCTCTGAAATACAAAAAATGAATTAGGATTCTAAAACAAATTCTTTACAGATCAAAACATGTGGGTGGAAATGTTTGTGCCGCCGATAGATGTTATACGTGCGAAAGTACATATTTTTGGGCATTTTAATAATGGCTATAGCATAAATAGGATAGGAGATGTCCGCATAGTTCCCAGCTTTAATATCACTTTGATTCAGACAGATAAGCCTTTGTACAGACCTGGACAGACAGGTGAGAAGCATTTTTGTTTTATTCTTTAAAGTTAGAGTAGCAACAAAGAGACAATTATAACTGCAGTTGTAATAATGAATAAAAATCTGATGTGTACACCACATGACTTCCTTGCACGGAATATTAAATTATACGCATATTTTCTTGCATTTCATTTAAACGTATTGGATTGAATTAAATCTACTTCCTCGATAGCGCATAAACCACATTAGAATAAATACACTCTTTAAAATTCACTATATTTGTTTACAACAGCGACACTCTGGCGCTAGTTTCACTTATTAGCGTTACATTTCGTTCATATTATAAATCACTATGCATATAAATTATGACTCACTTTTTTCTGGGCATTAACTACTAAAGAGGTTTCACCAGTAGATCGCATTAAAGTGCACTAGGGCAAAGATATTTCCAAATAAATGGTACTAGGGAAGTACCAACACCCGTGGGCGAGGAAAATTCAGTTGTGTGAGCAGGCATATCTTAATACTTACGAAAATAGGTGTTCATAATAAAAATTGTGCAGTGATAAGCGATGGCATTAAATTGAAGCATGCAGGCAGTTGTAGTGAGTTATATGGAAAATGCAGATGGTGAGTGCAATATAACTAATAAGAGTGCAGGACAAGCAGTAGTGAGACATCATGAAAAGGGGGCGAAGACAGTTCAAAGTTGTGAATGGCATAAGAGTTCAAAGTCCTTCAGAAGTATGCAGTAGCTAGATAGGCCGAAAAAAGTTCAAAAGTTCGTAGAATCATACGATAAAGTAAAAATTCATATAAAAGAATTAAAAAATGAAATAGTAACATAAAAATCTCGAATAAAAAAAGTCTTAACATAAGTATAAGACGCCACGCAAATAATGGGATAGAGTCCAATTTTTCTGTCCGAGAAAATTAAGCAAAGTTCATGTTCAAGTTCGGTGCGAAACACATTCACAGTTGAAGTAAATTTTAAAATTAAAATTTACAAATTACCACCATAACGAATTGTGATGAATTGTCCTCGACCGTTTGACAGTGTATTCAATGGTTGGATCATAATCGAACATTTGTTTAATTGCGTTATACTGACTATACTTGTGAGCTGTCATGAGTATAAAGTTATGCACAGATGGAATATCCAGGTCGTTATGAATTATAGAGTTTCTCAAATACCAAGGTGCATCACAATGCTACTTGGAATTTTATTTTTAAATATATCCAGTTTTTCGCTCGTTTCATGGCGATTTCCAGGCCGCACGCTATACACGATCGTCTTTGAGACTGTAAGCATTTTCTTTAAGAATGCATAGAATTTGAATTTAAATTATATCATTGAAGACTACTAATCGTTGCCTATCTTCTATTCAATACTAAATATCTAAAACGATGTATAAAAAATTAAGCAAACAAGCCAAAAGACAGTATTTTACAACGATTCAGTATTTTCTCTTCAATTATTCCGTTCGCACTTCTCGACAAGGCAAATACATAAACGCAAAATATGTATAAAAATTACGAGTAATCTTAAAAGTTTTTCGCTAATAATTCCAAGGGATTAAACATTATTTCATTCGCAATATAAAGAAGCTTTATCTTTGTTGTTGCTAAGCGTAGTTTTTCTAGCTTGCACAATCCGCTATTTTGCCAATTTGAATGTAACAAATGTCCCGCCATCCAAAATTCATTAGCTTCCTTCATTCACTCTACTTTAAGCATTAGCAAGGAAAGGGGGAACCCTGGAGCAGTACAAGGCGTCCTCGCCGCCTGCCCGGGTAATTCATCTGATTGCAGAAACCTTGCATAATTTTTAATTACATTTTTATCTAAACAAGCGGTCATTTCGTATGACCGCCGGGCTTTCTAGTAATATATAAGACAACTGAACGAAGAAAACTTAAAATCATCTGCAAAAGTATAGAAATACTCTTATATTTACATAATTTTCTAGTAAATACTTTATTTGTACAAATTTTCCACTTTCATTAGGTTTTATTTAATATGCATTATTTAGCATATTTTATGAAAAAATTCCATGTATTTTTCGTTTTCAGTAAGATTTCGTGTTTTGCGTATGGACAGTGATCTCAAGACTTTAGAAAATGATGCTGTAAGTATAAAAATTTAATGCCGTTTACGAAATTTTTTTACATTTCAAGCCTGATTTTACTCAAATTCCTAACATATGTGAATTTGGGACATTACTTCAAATATTTTAGCATTTTAAATCCAATGACTAGTAAACTGCTAAGGTAAGGGATGTGCCCTTCAAGTTTTCTTCCAATGGAATCTACATGAATCTCGGGCTAATCTTTGGAATATTGTAACAGGTAGTTTGGAGACATTTTGGTAAGGCGATAAAAGTTACTA